TTGCCAGAGAGCCAACGTGTTTGAGGCCAAACGCGGGACACCCCAGAGCCTGCGCTCACGGACCCGGTCCGCCCTCCGCGCGGCCCCAGGCGCCGCCCGGGGTTGGGGGGAACCTCGCGGCCTGCAGCCCCTCGCACGCACGTGCGGGGCCTCGGGGCCCCGGTGGTTGGGCCCGAAGTCGCGTCGCGCCTCCCTCGTGCGCCCTGGAGCCGGGCCGACTCCGGGACCCTGCCAGGACGCGGGCTCCCTCGGGCCGGAGCCGGGGAGCCGGGGCCAGCCGAACGCCACCTCCTCGGGGCAGGCGGCCCACTCCTAAAGCGATTTTGTGGGGTTTCGGGGAGCGGTTGGATTTCACGGGGGATGGGTCACCGCCCTCTGAGCAGCTGAGCTGCGCGATGCCCGCCGCACCCCCAGGGTTTGAGGTGCCCCTCCCTCCACACCTGGCCACAAGCTGTTCGTGGGTGTGTTGGTTTGGACGATGGGTCACCAGCAATCAGTCTGGGGTGAGGGCGAAGCGAGACACCTCTCCTCCCACCACCCTGGCGGCTCCCCCTCATATTCCACAGGGCTTTGGAGAGAGGTGCTGACCAGAGAGGGGCCAAGAGCTCTCTTCTGGATGAGTCAGGAGACCCAGAGCATCCCTGAAGGGTGTCTGTGGATGGAGAGGTCAAGTACATCTCATTCCTTTAAGGCCACGGGAGACTCTCCAAGGCCAGACACTCATGAGCGAAAGAGGCATCTGTGGGGGCGTGTGACCAAGCACAGCAGGCTGCCAAACGTCCCCTGGGCTTGGACGTGAAGCTGACCGACCTCACGGAGGCTGGCACGTCTGTGTGTCAGGACTCAGAGCCGGGACAAGTTCAGACCCCTCTTGTAGAGGTTGAGGTGGGCACTCAGCCCCCAGGACAGTGGGCAGCCCGTGTCTGGGTTGAACTCCATGTGAACTTGGCATCTGCAGTCCATCGTTTGCCCCTTTTGCTCCCAGGTGAAGTCTGGGCTGGAAACATCGTCCGGGATGAGGAAGACTGACTCCCACTAGGCCTTCCTAATTGGGAAGTGAGGGCAGGCTCCTCTCCTAGGAGAGGGCACAAGTCTTCTGGGCCAGTCTTGACTCCCATTCCCTGTGAACTGCCCCCCCTGGAGGACTGTCCTGCAGAAAATGAGCACCTGGGGAAGTGGATCTGGAAGGGGGTGGGTTGAGCCAGGCAGGCCTCTCCCCTACCCCCCATCCCCCCTCCACCCGGGTTTAGCCCTTGGCTGGCCAGGATGCCCCTGCAGACACTGTTAGGTTGGATCCCTACTCCCTTTGCTGTGATGTAAGGATTTATGATCAACAGTATCTAAACAAAGACAGGGGCCCTGAGTGCTGACCCCTGGTTGACAGACACCCACAAAGGGCTGAAGGTCAGCTCGGACAGCAGTGGGGTGATGCGGAGTAAGGCAGCCGCCCACGTGGGTGTGCAAGGTGTGCACTCCAGTCAGTGCTCTTTATGCCAAATCTGCGGGCAGTGTAATCTTCCCAAGGTCAAATGACACCACCAGCCTGGGGAGAAGCCACGTGTGTGCAGGGCAGCTGCGGGCTACGCTGGGCACTCCTCACAGGCAGCACACCCCCTTCACGTGGTTTCCCGAGGTGGGAAGTCCAGCAAGTCCAGCTGTCTGAGATGCACCAAGGGCCGGATATGACAGTCACCCCAACTTGGGGACTATGGTTGGTAGCATGCACCACACCCCTGCTGAGAAAAGCCAGGCCCGGGGGTAGGACTAGAGGCACCCAGGGCCCCTTACATCGGCAGGTGCTGTTGTCTATGTACTTGTCCAGGGAGCCAATGCGTCCCGAGGCCAAAGGACAGGGTGGTACCCGAACACCAAGAGTAATTCAGGACAGGCACCATGTCCCCTCCAGGCCTCACACCTCCAGGCACCAGTACAGTCGGGGCTTCCGGACTGCATCCCTCACCTGCTGTCGGCTGCAAGCACCTGCCTCCCCCAACCCCCACCAGGCCCAGAAGCAGCCACATGGCTGACAGGCAGGAAAGCACCCAGGAGAGGCCACGCTCTCCTCCCAGCCCGATGACACGCTGGGGTCCATCAGCGAGGACAGTGACATGTGGAGAAAAGTGAAGTCCCACAACACAAAGCGACTCGGGAGGCGGCCTGCAGACACACACTCGGCGCAGGGAAGGCCTCAGGGCCCAGGAACAACAACTGGGAGCTCAGCGGTCGCTTCAGGACTTTTATTGGCTTCACGGCGGGACCCGAGTCCAGGTAACGCTAATGCAAACCCAGCTGACGCACCTGCTGGAGCGGCAGCACCAGGAGCAGACTGTCAGAGGCCAAGGCCGCCGGCTGTGTGCACCTGGACAGCTGAGCAGTCACCCCGCGCCCAGTGGCCAGAGGGTGCGTCCACACGAGGGCGAGCAGGATGCAGGTGGGGCTGGGGGACCCCTCCCTCCCTTGGGCAGGAGGAGGTGGCTGAGCTGCCCATGGCCAAGGCCTCTGGCAGGGTGCCCCCACACCCTCACGCTGAGCTCGGGGTCTATTTATTTGGACAATAAAATAAAGTGCGTTTACTGAACAAAGAGTGACTCAAAACCAGAAGCAGAGAAATCAAAACGCTCTTCCTTTAGCTAAAAGATGAAAGGAAATGAATTCTGCATCTGCCAGAACTTCAGAGTGAGGAGAATGTTGGCTGAAGAGAGACGGGAGCCAGCTTGGTGGGTGAAGGCGACACAAGGAGAATGGGGGGTTGGGGGGGCCTGGGGAACACAGAGGGGGAGCTCAGGGCCCAGGGCCACCGGGCCCCTCTGCAGCCTCACACTGGATCGCAGGGACCACACGACACGGGGCCCGTCATGGAGAGCCCCTCAGCAGGCGGCTGGGAGCTGAGCTTGAGCTGGGACAGCCGCCACCCCCTGGCGGGAGTCTGCGCTCCGCGCCTCTCCTGCCCACCCCCCTCTCCCAACAACCGATGGCTCTGCTGAAGCCAGACCCAACCTCATCGGCCCCTGGCCCCCAGAGGAGACGAGACACCAGGTGGACCTGCAGGTGCCAGGCACAGCCCTGCCGCGAGAAGCCAACATGCAGAGAACAGAGTTCTCTGTCCACAGTGCCATGGGTTAAGGTAGGGTCACACAAGCCTCCCCCCACCCCCAGGGCAGAGACCTGAAGTCGCCAGCACAGTCCACGTCTGGGTCAGCCCCTCCCATGGGTGCCATGCAGCTCAGAGACATGGCCCTCATTAAGGCAAAGAGGCATCAGGGTGCCGCCCACAACTCCCTGGGGACCCCAGAGCACATGTGCAAGGCCTGATCATGACCTCTGTCCTGGGACCCCCACAGCAGTCCAGTCACCCCACAACAGACCAAGCCCCTACTCTCTCACTCGGGCCTGTTGCAGTGGCTCTTCACCGTGCAGGAGGCCCGAGGCTGGGCGGGGCAATGGGAGAATGGTGCACAGGGCAAAAGGGGCTAGAGCTTCGGGTCCCGGGCGACCCAGCTCACCCCAGGCAGGCCTGGCCCATCTGGAGGCGCCGATGCGTGGACCACCAAGTCTGCAGCTGCGGCTGCTGTGTGGCTTGGCAGGAAAGTCTCAGGCACTGAGGTTTACTTCCAAGAAGAACTGACTGTGGGTCCCCGTCCACCCTCACCCACCTTGCGTCCACCCTGCCCCCACGCCCAGGGACTCACTATGGGAAGGAAGAAGTGGGAACTAGTCTCTCACTCCCCTTTTATGTAGTTTTTATCTTAAAAAGAAATAAATAAAAGTCTTCTGGGCAGAAATTACTGATAACTGTTATTACAACCAACGCAGACTTTAAAAACCCCACCTGGATGTCAGGTGAGCGCAAGGAGGAGGGCGGGCAGCAAATTAACCTGCAGGTCGGGCAGAAGGGAGACCAGCAGCCCTGGGCCCACTCATGTTTCCACAAGACAACGGCCGCCGGCAGGGGAAGAAGTGGCCCTCACAGGCAGGGTCAGCCCAGAGCAACAGTGCACAGAGGTCACCAAACACTCCCCACGGGAACCACAGGAGGGGCAAAAACAAAAAGCATCCAAAAGAAAGGGAAGAGAAAGCTGGATGGCGGCAGTAAGCCCTCCCCACCCCTCCCAGCCCCAGGTGATGGTTCCGAGG